GATGAGTGGCGAGTGGACGTTGCAGTGACGGGGTCACAGAAGGCTCTGTCCATGCCCACTGGTCTGACAGCTGTCTGCTTTTCAGACAAGGTAAGCACGTTGGTAGTTGATTCGAACTTTGTAATATTGCTACAAACAATGAACCATGCCACTTGGAAGGCGATGAAGGCATTGCTCCACTCGCGTTGCGCATGGCATGAAGTTTCAACAACTTCACTTGCTGTAAAGTACACTGCATGCAAGCAGCCTGCACGTATATGCCTCGCAGTGATGTGGGGCAGTTGCTCTTGGCCTATGTGGTGTCTGTTGGTGCCACTTTGGCTGATCCCAGGTTCCCCCATCGAAAGCCGGCCTTGCTGCACAGGTGCAGCAGGTGGACGCAGCCCTGTCAGTGCAGATTGTAAGCAGGCGCTTCGGTTTGCTTGCGAGCGCAGGCTATCGAGGCCCGCAAAACCTCCACGCTGAAGAAGGTGTACTATGACATCGACGACCAGATGAAAACAAACCCTTCAGGAGGGACCCCCTACACACCCTCTCTGCACCTCCTGTACGGCCTTCGCGAGTCTCTGGCCCTGCTGAAGGAAGAGGGCTTGGAGAACGTCATCGCTCGCCACCACCGCCTTGCAGAGGGCGCCCGCGCGGCCGTCCAGGGCTGGGGATTGCCCCTGGTGTGTCAAGACCCGAGGTGGAACTCGGACACACTGACGGTGATCAAGACCCCCGAAGGCGTGGACTCCAATCTGGTTGTGAAGAACGCCTGGGCGAAGTACAACCTCTCCCTGGGCGTCGGCCTCTTCCAGATAAATGGGAAGGCGTTCAGGATAGGGCACCTGGGAAACATGGACGAGCTCATGCTGGCCAGCGCGATCAGCGGTGCTGAGATGGCCATGGTGGATGCCGGAATACCCATAACCATCGGGTCGGGGATCTCGAAAGCCCTTGAGTACTGGCAGAAGACCAGCAAGGTGATTCCCACCCGTGAGTGTGTCCTTCAAGGGTGATGCACTGCAGCGGGAGACAAACAGGCAGCAGAGTGCTCTGGACGGCGCCACCTCTCCTTCCTGAGGTGCATGTTTTGAGATTTTGGCGCGTGCTGTCTGTGCTGGCCGGCTGATGCAGAGAGAAGGCCACTGGAGTGCGCCTCCAATTCGTTTTCAGCGCGTTGCGTCATACGCCAGGCCTGCCTGGAAGTGCTATCTGGGCCCCTTGTATATTATGTGATTTCAACACTTCCGATACAGTGCCACCTAGCCCTGCCATCGCGCTCGTTCCGAGCGCCTCGTATGGCCCTTACACAGGGCCGGTAGCAACAGCGACCGTGATTCAGAGGGTGCCATTGAGCCTGTGCAGGACCTGTGATAGTCACCCTGGATTCTGGCTTGGGACCAGCCACGCGCAGCGTTCTTACATGTGGTGCCTACAGAGGATGTCCGCATTGTTTGCGTCAAGCTGTTCCCTCTAGCAATGCACCCGACGAGAATAGGGCCAGCGATAGACAACCAGATTTGACGGCCCGAGCATTCGGTCCGTCGCAATGCACGTGTGTTTGCGACCATCACCGAGCAACAGTGTGGGGGCAATGCGCACCGCATCAACGCTCCATGTTGCGGAGCATTTCCAACACAACCACATTGCCGTACTTTTGGATCTCTTGAATGCGGATGAGGATATGGTTTGCTCAATAGGTCGTGCGACGTTGTGATTAGCAAACTGGCCTTCTCTCCTTCGATTGGCATGTGCGGAATCCGCAATGTGAATCAGATCACACATGATTCCATCATGCTGCCCACAAGCGAGAAAGGTAGAATAGAACTTGTATGCTCAGCCGCCTCTGCAAGACGTGCCTCCGTGCTGCTGCTGCATCCCCACTTACCCACAACGCCAGCTTTACGCTGGAAATCGCCATATTGTCAGGGCGTGAGAGGCAGCGGGTACACGAAATCCGCCCTAAGAGACTCTGTGCACCTGTACTGCAGATCGCACCACGTGCTTGTCCCCGCAGAAATCCTTTGGCTTACATCTGTTTGCGCACAGCAAACCAATGCGGGCCCCCATGGACAGATTTCTATTCCTCGAGGCCCATCACCATGGGCACGCAGCACCAGCGACGATGGCGACAAGATGCGCTGGGTGAATTGAGTCCAAGTTGGGATAGAAACAGCGCAGCACATGACTTATTGCCCAAGGGTGAAATCTGCTGCACTCCGCAAGTCTCACAAATTAACGATTTCCGTCCTTCAAGTGGACATTTCGACAGGTCGCGTCCACTGTACCTTTCGTTCAGCCTTATTTCATGGACTCGCGCAACTATATCCCCTGATGCGCCGCGGTGCTGAAGGCAAAGGGCCACAAGTGGAGACATTAACCCTGGATTGATTACTGTGAACAGAATAGTCGAAGAAATTGCGACACCGCGGCTCCACGGCAATCTTCCCACTCTGATAGGCTTCCGTAAACTCATCACCAGCCGGCGATGAAGGAAAAACAGCGGAGCCGGGTCACAAACAGAAGAGAAAAGCTTGGCGACTTGCCCACCAGCAACCCGTATCATACAGCTGAGCCGCTATCCCTGAAGCTCAAGTCTCCGTATTGGTGACAGGAGGCCGTCGTGGCAGGCTGCCAAGGGCCTCCAAGAGAAAAGCTGCCACAGGTCCTCAGCAGCTAAAGTAATACTCGAGGCACGACAAACGTGCCACGATACTTGCGTGCGCAGCACTGCTCACAGAATCAAGACAACTGCTCACCACTGGAATCCAATCCCAACAACAGCCCACCGGGCCAGCACTCATCCTGGCGCCCTCTCCAGTCCACTTGCAGACTCACCGAGTCACCAGCGGCACCATTGGAGACGTATTCTCCAGATGAAGACACGGTGCGGACTTCACGACAGGCAACGCAAGGCCTGCCTTCGGGGCGCGAGCGGCGCGCATGCGCGACCCGAATGCCTGAGGATCGGCCTGCCTGCGGCGGCCTGCCACGTGTGCACGGCACCAAACTCGCAGCCGCGCCCTTCGTCCGCCGGAACCAGTCCAGATCTCAGGGCGGCCCGGGGGGCGTGTCGGGGGGTGTGAGCTCTGCGTCGAAATGCATCCAGAAAGCCGCGGAAACGAACACGTAAGTCATGGACAACATGATCCCCTTGAGCCAGTTTGAGGTCCCGTCGTTCATTGCGACGATGACCAGGAGGACACTGAGGAAGAGCGCGACGCTCTCAAATTCCTTGAAATTCAGGTCCAGGTCCTCGCCCATGACCCAGGACAGGATCACACAGAAAGGAATGACAAGGACTGCCACCTGCGTGGAGCTTCCTGCATGCGCAACAACACCCCAGCCTCAACACGGCAACGCCTCCATCAGGAACCAGACACGCCTCTCAAAGCAGTACAAGTAATTCTTAAAACGGCAAGCCATCTGAGTTGCCCCGAGTAGGGAGGGCTCTGGAACACGCCTCCTTGCTGTTTGCAGACGGCTGAGAGACATGAGGTTAGGTGCACACGTCAACAGAACGCACATCACTTGGGCACACCCATTCTTCAGACATCCTGGCCCCAACACTGCCCAATAGTGGGGCAAAGCAGTCCCAGAGAAAGCCATCAACAAACGCACCTACTGCCACCCCCAGCGTGATTTCCATCCGGTTCTTGTATGCAAACAAGATCGCCGAAGCATGCTCAGCAGCATTGCCCACAATGGGCAACACAATCGTCGACAGGAACGGAAGCGGAATGTTCAAACCGTTTGCGGCACCTTCAATGCTGGAAACGATGAATTCGGACAGCACAGCAATGAGGACTGTCACAATCGTGAGCCAAATAAGAGCACCTCCCATTCCCAGCGATGGGCCTTCAGGTTCTTTGGGAGGGGCAGCCTGCAAACATCAAGCAACGAAATATATCAACAAGGGTGTACACCTGCCTTGAGAAGACTGGACATCTGGGCCCATACACCAGAGATCACCAAGTGCAAAAGATGCAAGCCACAGACAAGCGCAACAGCCTCGCACACATAGTTCCAACAGGCGATTGGCAGCTTTCAAGTGCACCAGCATTGGCTCTCATCTGTGCATCCCTCTTGGTCAGTATGTGGCATAAGCAATGAAGCATGGCTGTGGTGGTTGAGTAAAGACTGTTTATGTTGCTGACAGGCGCTCAAGGGTGAGTTTCCCATTTTCCAATAGCAGAACCATGCAGGCCCGTAAGCCAAGAGACCACAAAGTGCCACGGTGCCAAAAACAATGGATGTCACAAATTGTATCTACTGGATCCACTGCCAGCGATGATGCTGGGTCATCACTAATGCTGTCAGCCTCCACCCTATTTCATGGGAGGGA